ATCACCAATTCACTAACATTCCAACTGACTCCATTTTCAGAAAACGACATCTGTAACAAACATAAACTTTTAGCTACCGCTTTACAAGCAGAACCAAATACAATGAAAGTCCCAACTATGTATTGGCTTCCGAAGCTACACAAAACACCTTACAAATATAGATTCATTTCGTCTTCAAGCCATTGTTCCACTACTAAATTGTCTATTCTTCTTACCAGTACACTTGGTACAATCAAAAACCTGATAATAAATTGTTCAAATAAGGCCTTCGAAAACAGTGGAATTAATTACTTTTGGAGTGTCAAGAACTCGTTGGAAGTACTTGATAAATTACATGCATATATTGGTGATTTTGAATCTGTTCAAAGTTTTGATTTTTCTACCCTATATACCACATTGCCTCACATTCTCATTAAGAAAAAATTCACACACCTAATCAAATGGGCATTTAAAAAGTCAGAATGCGAATATATATGTTCAAACTCTTTTAGGTCATTTTTTAGTAGCAATAAACAAAACAACTATGTCAATTGGACATGCTTTGATACTATATATGCCCTTGAATTTTTACTAGATAACATTTGTGTTCGCTTTGGAGATTCCGTATATCGTCGGGTTATCGGAATTCCAATGGGGACTAACTGTGCACCACTTATTGCGGACCTTTTTTTGTATTGCTATGAGTTACAATTTATGACAAAAATCAGCAAAGACCCATTGAAACAACATCTGATACACAAATTTAATAATACTTTTAGATATTTGGATGATATTTTGGCTCTCAATAATGACGACTTCAGTATGTATACTAAAGCAATTTATCCTGTTGAACTTACTTTAAATAAAGCTAATACTAACAATGACCACTGCCCTTTCCTCGATCTTGATATCTTTATCATTAATGGAAAGCTTAGTACTAAAATATATGATAAAAGAGATGATTTTTCATTTCCTATCGTTAATTATCCATTTTTAGATGGTGACGTTCCCTTGTCACCATCTTACGGTGTTTATATATCTCAACTTGTACGATTCGCTCGTGTATGTAACAATGTTTTAGATTTTAACGAGAGAAATTTATGTAATACTGAAAAATCATCACACCAGGGTTTTCGATATCACAAACTAGTCAAAACATTTACTAAATTTTATCATCGGTATAAGGACATCATTCGTAAATATAGCTCAACATGCAGACTCTTTATACGTTCAGGTATTTCACATCCAATTTTTTATGGAAATATTCTTTATAAAGCACAACAATGTCAGTATTCACCTCTGAAACTAACAAAACCTTTAAACAGACTTATTAAGAAGGGATATAGTTACGATACTGTTGTCAGGTCATTAAAGATTGCATATTTTGGCTTTAATATTGATTCACTTATAGGGTTTTTGCATCGGCACTAAACACATTTATTTAAAAACCAGTTGTTGGCATGACACGGGTTATGTTCTTCTCATATATGATATGATGGTATGATACTAAACCCCTAACGGGACGGATTGTGCCTGATATTCATATGATGAAGACATAATCTTTCAATCATTTTAATTGAAGTCTGGAGCTGGCATGTCAGTTAACTGCTAGTAGTCTGTTGTTATTTATATATTATTGTCATTTTGTTTATTTTCTTTGGTTACATCTTCTGACATCAGACTCGGACTTCTCTTGAACTGAATTTTAATGTGCGTATTGTTATGCGTTTACTTTTCTACATTGGCTAGAGGTATAGGGGGAGGGTTGAGATCTCATAAACATGTTTAACCCCGCCACATTTTTGCGCCTGTCCCAAGTCAGGAGCCTCTAGCCTTTGTTAGTCTTGTATTATTTTTAATTTTAGTTTCTTGTGTACAATTTGGAGTTTAGTATGGCGTTCATTATCACTGAACTAGTATATATATTTGTTTAGGGGACAGCTGAAGGACGCCTCCGGGTGCGGGAATTTCTCGCTGCATTGAAGACCTGTTGGTGACCTTCTGCTGTTGTCTGTTCTATGGTCGGATTGTTGTCTCTTTGACACATTGCCCATTTCCATTCTCAATTTTATGTAGATGTGCATTTTGACTGGAAAGTATGATTTAATTTTTTTTCTATGAGTTATGCCCCTTTTAACATAACATTTTGTTCTAAATACTACTGCAGCAGTTTGTCATTTTTAAGTAAAAAAGACTGACATTAAATTGCTTAGCACCTAAAGGTTTGAAACAACAGCACAACAAATTTGTAGATGTAATTTTTTTTCTATGAGTTATGCCCCTTTTAACATAACATTTTGTTCTAAATACTACTGCAGCAGTTTGTCATTTTTAAGTAAAAAAGACTGACATTAAATTGCTTAGCACCTAAAGGTTTGAAACAACAGCACAACAACTTTGTAGATGATAAGGACATACTATATAGATATGCATATCGACATCAAATTATCATTCAATGCTTTTTCTAAGAGTTATGCCCTTTGAACTTAGAATTTAAGAATTTTGCTGAAATATTCTACTGCAGCAGTTTCTCATCGCAATTCCTCTAAAACCACACAACAGAATTTCATGAATTTAATGAGGACTTAATATGTAGATGTGCATATCCACGAGATATTTTTTATCTTTTTTAGGAGTTATGAGTCTTTGAACTTTGCCTAGTGACAATATAGGGGCGTGGGGTATGTAAGTGTGCTCACAATGGTTCTTTAATTAAATGACATGACATTATCAATGTAACTGAAATTGAAATAAAAAACTTTGCGAGATGTTTTTTTTAAATTTTGTACGAATTCTGCTTCATATGAGTACAAACAAGAATGTGTCCATAGCACACAGATGCCCCACTCACACTATCATTTTCTATGCTCAGTGGACCGTGAAACTGGGATTAAAACTCTAATTTGGCATTAAAATTAGAAAGATCATATCATAGGGAACATACTAAGTTTCAAGTTGATTGGACTTCAACTTCATCAAATACTACCTTGACCAAAAGCTTTAACCTGAAGCGGGACAGACGGACGGACGGACGGACGGACGGACGCACAGACCGAAAAACATAGATGGGGCATACAAACAAATCGGCCAGCATAGAGGTGCACAATAAGTACCAATTTGAATACCGACTGCCTGTTGGGAATATCGATCCACCAAACACAACAAATATGTTGTCGATCAAAACGTCTAGCATTTTTTTTGAATACCGACTGCCTGTTGGGAATATCGATCCACCAAACACAACAAATATGTTGTCGATCAAAACGTCTAGCATTTTTCGGTATATTTTTTGTAATCAGTGCGGTTCTTCATATTGATAGATTGTTCATGACCTAAAACAAGAAATTTGTATCTACGAGTTCCATTTGCGTCTGGCGTACACAAATTTAATCCTGGTATTTATGACGAGTTTATTTGATGAATATGCTCTGAGATGAGACGATGCATTTGACCTTTCAACTGAGAATGGGGAATATTAGTTTTAAGACATGAATAGAATTCAAAGTTTTGACATTACTGCAAAATCGATTGTGATTGAAGATTTGTAGTAGGACTTTAGAACTTTTAAGAATGTACATCTGATTGACACCGCTGGTAGAATATACAACAGCACAATATTTCTTAAGGTTATATTTTTCTTCTATAGATTAAATTGCTTTTTTTCATTGTTTATTTTCATTGTTTATTGGTTTATTTTTGTAAAATTGTTTATTTTTTGTTTTCATTCCTAGTTTCAACTTATTTTAATGTCCATTTTTTATATCTCAAGTGTTTCGTTACACTAATGATTTTACGCTCCCCTCTTTTATGTGCAGTAGAGTGACAGTTACGTAGGTGATATCACGGATTTTTATAGAATTTTGCAAACTATTAGAGCCCGGAGATTAATGACATTGAATATTCCCTAGAAGGAAGCACAAATGTATAGGATAGACGTAAATTGTCTTCTCAAAAACTGTCGTTAATAACTATATATGTTATTGCCACTGAATTTTATTGATATAAAATTTACAGATCATCGAATTAGATTTTGCTTTTTGTATTTTTCAAGAGTATTGAAAACTATTAGAAGTTTAAGGAAAAAATATTTTACCGGGCTTCAGATTGGCCTTTCGTGTACCCAAGGCAGGTGAAGGAAGTCAACTTACGAGCGCTGTGATCGAATGTTAGGGTATAATATATATTTTTTTTCATTTATCTATGAATAAGTACAGTGTGTATATTTATAATATAAATTTTGAAACTCATCGAAATGTTTTCTTGAGAATTACTCGAAAATTTCATGAATTTGATGTAAAATGTCTGTGGGCATAAACAAGCTCCTTTCGAAGATGGTCATGATACTATTTGACTTCAATTTCTAAAACAGATTACTAAAGTACTAATACCACACATAACGGTTTTGTCCAGGTTTTTTATTATAAAAAGTGATAAATTTAGAAAATTTTAGTATTGTCGTCTATGGGAAAATAAGTACTACCGTTTTCTTTAGTTGGTGTTTCTGTATGAAATCCGATAAGGACATCCACCATTGTTGCAGTCTAGAGCGACATGACTTCATATCAATCTTTGATATGGTACAATATTATTTGGTATAGTTGTATTTGTAATTGTATTTTGTTGTATAATATACCATTATTAAAGGTTATGTGCGTTTATTCATTTATGTTCAATTCGTTCATCCACTGATCGAGACTGGAAGGGGTTAGATCTTAAAAAAAACTTAGCATAACCCACCACATATTCATGAGCTTATAATTCCGTCAGTGGTTGTCCAAATGTAATATTTGTATTTGGAGAATTTGGTAGTGATGACAAATATTTGATATTTTGTTTGATTTATATATAAATGTTTGAATTTGTTTAGACATCTGTTGAAGATCATTTATTGACATCTAGCTGTCTTATGTTTATTTGTTTCTTTCGATTGCTGTCTCATTGGCGTTTCCCATTTCAGTCACCTTTATAGTTACGGATTTGTTTTTAAACAAATATAATACAATGAGTTAATAAGATTCGCAGTTAATTAATGATTTAATACTTCAAAATGTCATCGAATTAAAACCAAGAGATCTAGAAAAGGCAGTTGTTAGGCTCTTCTGAAGACTGAAAAAAAAAAAAATAAAATAAAAAGTATATTATGAGTTGATATTCTGGGTTTTAGCTCGTTGATAAATTCAAAAAATGTACAAGAAAACTTGATATTTTAGGTTTTAGCCAGTTGATAAATTCAACAAATGTACAAGAAAACTAGAAGAAGAAATAAGATAGCACAAAGCCAATAGATTATTTAATAGTTAATATATTCAAACCATCAACTACTTTTTTGTATAACATAGGCGAAAAACAATGTTGCATCGTGATATCATTTGTTCGCCACTCGTTCTACGTAAGGTTGCTAGCACGAACTTCCATTCAGTATTGGTGTAAAGGCAGCTACTATTTGATTTTTATGGGGGGGGGGGGGGGTTGGGGGGACTGCTGCTAGGATGAAATTTGAAAAAAAGCAGTACAGGAGTTTTAAGTAAAAAGAAAAAAGGCAGAATGAGCAACTTTACAAAAAAAAAGGCAGGATGACAATTTCTGTAAAAAAAGTCAGAATAAACTAATAAAACAAAGGCTGGACGGAATAGATATAAAAAGGCAAGGCAGAGATTACAACTAAATAAAATTGCAAGACAATTTTGTTTTATCCTAGCCCCCTAAAATTTTAAATGGAAACTCCCTAATGGCACAACTTTTGGCTAGTCTAACATCGTCCTTGAGTTAGATTTTCAAAGGTGGACAATTAAGACAAAGTAAGATGTAATTCATCAAAATTAACAAAAAACAAAAACCACAGGTTTGGTTGAAAGTAAATTTTGAAATTATTGGACGTTTAAGATTAACATGTATTGCTTATGTATCAGAAAGATATTCGTGTGCTTTGACAAGTGTGAATACCTTGCAAAATATTTTCAGTATTTTGAGAAAACGAATTTATTTGATTGTGTAATTTCATTCAACTACAAGCAGTAGTATATGACATTTGGAACTTCTTTCTTAATGCATGTGCGAACCTGTTTCATTTTCTTTTTCCATATTTTCTATGAGCAAAACCTCCGTCACCACTACCTCCTCCTCCAACAGCACTTCCTCCTCCACCAATACCTCCTCCAGCAGCAGCTCCTCCTCCACCACTACCTCCTCCAACAGCACCTCCTCCTCCACCACTACCTCCTCCTAAATCACCACCTCGTCCTCCACCAACACCACCACCGCCTTTCTCTTCACTATCACTATCACTATCACTATCACTATCACAATTATTACCACACCGTATAGCGCCTGCAGAAGTCATTTGTAGTATGGCAGTCAAAAGGAGAATGATAAAGATCAATTTCTTCATTTTGAAACCTGTTAATATAAATAAAAATGTAACACTTTGGATAAATATGAATGAAATGAGATAATTTACTCATTAAATATCTTACTCCAACTGCTCCAGTTGTAACTACAATAGTTCATCTGTTGACTAACCGTCATCTTAAAAGATTTGTTGACTTTGATTGTTGCTATTTGTTCAACTGTTCAAATACCTTACTAGTCAACACTCTATAGCCATTTACCATGGTAACATTTTATAAAAGAAGTACAATAGCTTAAGTTTCTATAAATTACACCATGGTTATATTATTCAAAGGTCGTTATACAGATGAAACCAAACATTTGCATTTTCTAAGTTATCTTACAAAACATGTAAACCGAAACGTTTATTGTCTGGCTATTGATATTTAGATGGAAAATGATGTTTCAAAAATGTCAATCTCTGCTATATAAAGATAACATAAAAGCTATAGAAAAATTGATACACACATATAATATTGACTTCTTTACATACATCATTTTGCCAAGTGGAACTGATGCCCGGACTTTTTCCCCAAAACTATCCTTTACAACACCCTGTCACGGGACTTTCGATATGAAAATATTGTCCGTGTTATTGTTACGGTTTCTGTCAAGATTACGAAAATAAATAGAGCGTTGCATGTATGGTTACAATGGCATTAATTAGGTCTTTCTATTTTCCGTGGAAAGACCTATTGCTTTTTTTCTGATTATTATTAGGTCTTTCAACTTTTCCGTGGAAAGACCTATTGATTTTGTTCTGATTATTAGGTCTTTCCACTTTTCTGTGAAAAGACCTATTGGTTTTGTTTTGATTATTAGGTCGTTCAACTTTTCCGTGGAAGACCTATTGCTTTTGTTCTGAAATTTTTTTTTCCGCAACATTTTGTTCTTGCGGTGTATAGTGGTTTCGCAAGATGTCGCTTATATTTCTTGCATATGATATTGAACAGTTATTGCGCTTTTGAGACTGACCCTGTTTAACTGAACATTTTTCTTTGTAAGAGTTATCTCCCCAAACAAAGCAGTATAATGTAACCTATCAGATGATACCGGATATGATTTTTTTTAAACCGGTAGTGGCAATTTATCTCCCGTATTTCCAGTAAAAGTATAAAGAAACCATATTTTTTGGAATCTGTGTGACCAAAGCTATCATATGAGACCAGAAATGACATTTTCTAAACCGGAAGAAGAAAATTATCTCCCTTATTTCAGACAAAATCATATAGAATCCATATATTTTTGAATCAGTATAAAGAAATCTGTAATTAGATACCAATAGTTACTTTGCATAAACTACAGGTAGCTCCTAATAAATTATTTAGATATTTAATGTGGAAAGACCTTCAATTGATCTCGGAAAAATTGGTTTTTAATTTATGTATATGTTCAGAAATATTTTTTTGAAATTGCCTCACTGTCCTATTTTCTAATTACACAGTCGATTTTGTTAGTATCTTTTTCCGAAATTTTCTGGTTAAGCATCGTATATAATGATTTTTCTTACCTTTAAATCTGGTTCTAGGGAACAATTTGATATAATTGCATCTATGCTTTTATAAGGTTCATCTAAGTCATTAATTAATCAAAGTAGGAAAATTTATATTTTTCACAGTGTTAAGAAACAAATGAGTCAACCTTGTTACCTTAAATATGCACATGCATAATTCAACGTCATGTTCAGGAAAAGAACAACTATATCATGTATGTGTCACAAAAGAGAAAGTGTTTTACCTTTTTATGTCCTTGGAACGACTTTAAGGATATTATTCAATGGGTTTTTTTCTGACTTACATTTTGTTATTTTCTAAACTTAAGGGCGTTTATTTTCTTATTTATTTTTGAAGCAAATGAGTTAACCTAGTTACACTAAATATTATTGCATAGTTCGTCGTCGTGTTCAGGAAAAGCACAATGCACAAAAGTACCAAATTGTAATGTAACTACATGTATATTTACACTAGAGAATGTGTTTTACCTTTTACAAATGTATGTCCTTGGGATGACTTAAATGATATTATGCAGTGCTTTTTTCTGACTTTCATTTGGTTATTTTCTAAACTTTCTTTACGATTTTGTCTCATAAACATCAAATGTGCCATCTTTTTACATGTTCTTAATAAAAGTAAAATCATATTTTGGTAATAACACAACTTTATGTTATCAACCTGGTTTTAGGTAAGGTTCGTGTTGCTCAGTATTTAGTTGTCTATGTTGTGGTTTGTAAACTGTTGTTTGCCTTTTGGTTTTTTTTCTGTTTTTTTTTTTGCCATGGCTTTGTCAGTTTATTTTCGATTTATGAGCTTAATTGTCCCTTTGGTATATTTCGCCTCTCTTTTATGCTATTCTGTACTGTTCTCAAGGTTGATGAATTTTATTCAAACTTAGATATTTATATATTAGAATGTAGAGATTTTTTTTCTTCCACATCAAAGGATAAAGGTTAAGTGGCTTCAAGCTTTGCACGCTTTTGGCTTGAATGCTTTTTGTTCACCTAGTTGTGATGATTTAATCGGCAGTAGTACTTATGTTTTTTCTCATCGTATTTTGTTTAATAAAAGAAAAAAAAACTCTGAATGTGTTTTCTATTTTGTGCCTTTATCAATCAACTGATAGAAAAAAGTTTGATTACTCTCAAAATTTATACTTTTGATTTTTTGTTCTCTTCTTCTTGCAAACTTGTTCCAAAATTCGTATTTTCTACTTTAATACAAATTGGGTACTATCACTGAACTATTCAGAGTTTTGTTAATCTATTGATCGCATCAATATTTTGGTGTTTGAAACAAAAGATAACACAGATTCAATTAGGTAACGTACTATACCCTATCTTGACGAGGACAGAGATAATTTTAATATTCTCATTGTGAACTTCTCATTTTATGTAGAAACATTTCAGTAGTGCCTATAAATAGCCCATTTAATTTGGTATCCATGGACTTGTGTGTTTTCTATCATGAAACAGGGTTACCACTCACAAGGAAACTATCTAATCAAAGCTTCGTATTGGTAAAGTTGAAGTCATTTATTTAAAGTTTATGGCTTCACCAGTTATACACTACAACCATGACAACAGGCACTTCAGTCAAAACCTTAAGTAGAAGAAACAAAACAACACCGTGACCCACAGAAAATATACCAACAGACAACCAGTTCTTGTTTCACAAAGTTCACCCATCATGTTGATCAAGTATCAATTCAGTGTTAAGTCGCGTTTAGTAAGACAAATAATTTGCCATAACGAACAAAAATATCGTCAAGCAAAAAAAAAAAACAAAACATTTAAAACCTTATTCGAGTCTGTGCATGTCCAGAAATAATGCTTTTCATATTCTTAATAACTAAAGAAAAGTCGTTTATTCATACAACAACGGTATTCAAGAACTGATTTTCCAAAATACCGTGTCAATTAGTTTACCAAGATAATTTTTTAAACAGATTATAGTTATATTGGAGAGTTGTATATTAGGTGGGAAAATCTGAGTCAACTAAATGACCGATAGAATGAAGACTTCATCACAATTGGTTACACAAAATAAAATAACAGCTGTGTATGACAGTCTTTGCTTCATATTGTATAGCAAGATTTTAAAAGTAGCAAGTGCACAAGTCAGAATGACAGATAATGTAATGTAGGAAATCATTACAAAGAAGGAACACAGTGATTTTGACTTGACGTTTGAAGATGTTTAAATTAAAAACTCTATTTAGTTCTATTCATAAATAAGCCAACAAAAACATTTTTAAATTTTGATTTTTTTTGACGTAAGATGTCGAAAAAATACTAATTTACGTCAAACCATTTTGTGTCGTCAAACACCGTTAATTATTAAGTCTATTAGTCTATATCTTATGGTAGGTTCAAAGAGTTTCTGATTTTCAGTCTCTACATAGTTATGTTAAGGTAAAAAAGCATTCTTACTATATTCAATAGATTATCTAAGATCTGATATTAATTTTATAAAAGGAGCAATACTGTATTGAAAATAGGCAACTTACCAACGAAGGTTGTGAATTATTATTAAATACATGTGATAAAAGTACTCATGTTGAGAGTAATCAAACATTCTATTTCTATCAGTGGATTGATATAGGCACAAAAAAGAAAAACACATTCAGACTTGTTTTTATTGAATAATATAAGTTAAAAAGACATAAGTATTTCTGCCGATTGAATCATCACAACTAGGTGAACAAAAAGCATTCAAGCCAAAAGCATGCAAAGCTTGAAGCAACTGAAACCTTCATCCTTTGATGTGGAAGAAAAAACTTCTCTACATTCTTATATATAAATATCTAAGTTAGAATAAAATTCATCAACCTTGAGAACAGTACAGAATAGCATAAAAGAGAGGCGAAAGATAATAAAGGGACAATTAAACTTACAAGTCGAAAATAAACGCCCTTAAGTTTAGAAAATAACAAAATGTAAGTCAGAAAAAAAAAACATTGCATAATATCCTTAAAGTCGTCCCAAGGACATAAAAAGGTAAAACACTTTCTCTTTTGAGACACATACATGATATAGTTGTTCTTTTCCTGAACATGACGCTGAACTATGCATGCATATTTAGTGTAACAAGGTTAACTCATTTGTTTCTTAACACTGTGAAAAATATAAATTTACCTGCTTTGATTAATGACTTAGATGAACCTTATAAAAGCATAGATGCAATTATTTTTATATCAATTTGTTCCCTGGAACCAGATTTTAAGGCACGAAAAATCATCATACACTATGCTTATCCAGAAAAGTTCCGGAAAAGATACTAATAAAATCGACTATGTAATTAAAAATCAGGACAGTGAGGCAATTTCAAAAGAATATTAACGAACACATACATTAATTATTGCCATTGTAACCATTCATGCAACCAAACCTCACGGCAGTTCCAGCTCCGATCCGCATACTACTCTACACTAATCACTGCCTTCGAATTATTTCTTAACCCGATCTTCAAGCTGTGTGACCCGGGTTGACCTTTCGTTGCTACTGAAGCGAATAT